TGATCAATAAATGGTAAAGGAAAGTGATCTTTTCAGGTCACAGCATTTAATTTCCTATAGTCTATACAAACCCTCCACCCATTTTGAACACGGGTGGTAACCAATTCATCATTCTGATTCTTCACCACAGTTATCCCCGTCTTCTTAGGAACCACTTGAACAGGACTGACCTAACTGCTATCCCTGTCTTCTAGGAACCACTTGAGCAAGTACCCCACCAGGGCCATCGAAGGGTAGACCATCGCCATGATTGCGCCTATGAAAACCGATAACTAAATCAGCAGCAGCTATATTTTGAACTCGTGAGAATGCGAAATGCGTTGCTGAATCCCATATGTTGAATGCTCGTACAACAGGTTTGATTGCAGCAGCAGGTGTATTTGCTTCAAATGCATAGGTGAGGAGTGTTTTCGAAGCTGGCCATCTGGGGTTACCCGAGAAGAAACTGTAATGTGAGACCGTGTGGATGGAGTTGGATACATGAGGATTATGGTCCATTCCTCCAGCTCGCATCCTGCTAGTTCCATAAATTATTTTGAAACCACGTTGTACGTTTAGCATTGAGTAAGACATTCCATGCTATATCTCTAAAAGTAATATATACGTTTTTGTAAAACGTGATTTTAGTGTATATTATATAATTTAAACAATAAATGTTAAGAGGAAAAATAATACAAAGATTTAAATGAAAAACTCTAAGAGCATCTCCTATGCACTCTTTAAATGCAAAACTCTTATATATAATGCGTTAAACTTTGAAATTAAGCTCCTATATACTCCTAAATTTATTCTTTGAAAATAATTCCATTTAAAAATTTCAAGTTTAAATATTTGACTTCTCGTAATATTGACGTTATATTTGAATATTTTTTGTCATTGATATATTTATAAAATATACAAGTTAAAAAATGAAGTAAAAAGTAAGTGGTTATTGGGAAAGTTAAAATGAGGAGATAAAAATGAAGAGTTCGCTAGAGTGTGACCAAAAAAAAAATAAAAATTCTTCAAATATGAATTTAAAGATACTCTTTATATGATGTTCGAGATTTTCTTCAAAAATAAAGGATTTCTTTGAGGTGCTCTAAAACTTAAAAAAAAAAAAAAAAAATCACACATTTGCAAAAATATATAGGGACATTACACGTTATTAAAAATTATTATAGTTATTTTGAGTCTCCCAATTAACTAACCCTCAAGATGACCCATGAATCTACATAGTAAGAAAATCGATTTATTATATACTTGCGAGACTATAAAGGATTAGCCATGAGTCAACATATTAAGCCCATATTTGACAACTATTAATTTCAAACTCCTTTTTCTACGTATTCATTTTCAACCACACATCCACACAGTTAAATATTATGCACGTAAATTTAATTTTTGTTCGGACTTTTTAACCATAAATTCTCCTAAAAGCACTACTAAAAACATGGTTTTTTCCCATTTGATGGTTATCAAACAATGGCTAAGAAAACTGGTACTTACAATATACTTGTGAGACAACATAAGATTGTCTATAATTATCTCCCAAATTAGGATAAATACAAGGGTAAGAGGAGAGTCCTTCGTATAGGAAGATAAAATGAGGGCTTTCAGTTTCTTTGTAATGTGGGATTCTAAATAATCCCATCACAAGTAGGAAACTAAATCTAGTCATATTCTATGTACGACATACAAATAGAATCAAATTATTAGCTTTCCAGAATTCGAATAAACGAAAAGGCTATTGTTGCAGTTGAACTCCTCTTCCATCACCGTTTCCATGATTTTTGTGCCGCCACACCACCATTGTAGCAAATTGATGTGCTGCATCAACATATCTATGTGTCCATGAAGTTGTTTTGTCTTTTCAAGTCGTGTCGACAAGAAAACATGTCGAGTAGCTGTGCATCTTTGTCAAGTGAAATAGCTTTTACCATTGTACTCACGGATCTTAAGATGTAGGTGCATTTTCCTCTAGTTTGATGCTAAATATTAGAACATGACCAAATTCCTATTTGGATTTGGTTCAGGTTGCTTGTCGAGAAAGGGGACATAAAAAATGTTTGTCGGACGTCCAGTTTTAAAAGAGATAAAATTTCATTAAGGGCTTGTTTGGGCCCGATTAAAATCAGATTTTAATATAAGTCAAAGTCAAATAATCAATATCAACCGCATCTTTCCTAAGTCTCACATCTTTTTAACCACACAATACAAAAACTTATATCAGAATCCACATAAATTTTGATTTAAATATGCACCAAACACCCTCGAAAGATTGGGAGTTAGATTGAAACGAATTAGGNTCTCACATCTTTTTAACCACACATTTCAAAATCTTATATCAGAATCCACTTAAATTTTGATTTTAATCTGCACCAAACACCCTCGAAAGATTGGGAGTTTGATTGAAACGAATTCGGAACGATGAAAAAATCTTTGGAGGGTCAGGAATCCGATTTTGATCGTGATTCTTGCATTACAGTTCTAGTTTGGTGCTAAAACAATCTCTCAATTGATGAACTATCCTAAAAATACACTAATTTCGAGATTACCCACAAGATTAGAATATAAGATTTTGTTGAATAGTAATTTTTATTCAGTAATCACCATGCAAACACGATCAACAAATATATAACTTGGGTTTAAATAGTACAACCTAGGAGGAAGAGATTTCTTTTTATCAAATGAATTGATTTTCCTTATCTAAATTTCTTGGAAATAAAATATAACTAAGAAAACAAGAAGCTAATTAATAAAACTCGGACCCTAATCTAGTGGGGTATTTTCGTGATTACGGCTTAGTAAATTTGATTTTGTAATATATTTGTCCATTCAAAATAAGAAATGTAGAGGAAACCTTGACGCTAATCATAAGTGACAGCATAAAAATTTGAGAAAAACAAGCCACGTGTCCCAATATATGTATTAAGTAAAATGTTATTTTACAGTTGAAAACACTAGTTGGGAAACAACATTATTTTAAATTGGAATTCATTCTTATTTAATTTAAAACACATACTGTATATGATGTCAATAGAAATCAACAGACTTCAACTTTTATTCCTTCATTCACTCCTAATTTTGTGTTTTTATAATTTATCCTTCACTTTGTAATTATTGCTACATACAAACTTCAAGTCTTCACTTATTTAGTTCCCATGCCAAAGGTTCCTCTTAGACATTGTACAAAGCTCTGATTCCCTGTATATCATCTGCATCCAAACCCTTTGTGGCACCGGTAGGGATGTAGGCAAACATAATGGCATTCTGAACTGAGCTGTGGTCAAGTCCAAGAAGATGGCCAATCTCGTGAAGAGCGACGGTTTCTAGGTCAGATGCTCCTGGTGCAGCCCCTACGGAGAATCTATCATCTGCGTCGTAGTGAAACCTTCCATTGGTCGGGGCGAAAGCATGAGCAAGTACCCCACCAGGGCCATCGAAGGGTAGTCCATCGCCATGATTGCGCCTATGAAAACCGATAACTAAATCAGCAGCAGCTATATTTTGAACTCGTGAGAATGTGAAATGCGTTGCTGAAGCCCATGTGTTGAATGCTCGTACAACGGGGTTGATTGCAGCAGCAGGTGTATTTGCTTCAAATGCATAGGTGAGGCGTGTTTTCGAAGCTGGCCATCTGGGCTTACCCGGGAAGAAACTGTAATGTGAGACCGTGTGGATGGAGTTGGATACACGAGGATTATGGTCCATTCCTCCAGCTCGCATCCTGCTAGTTCCATTGACGATATCAGGCACCCCACACCGGGGTGTCATCATCTTTGATACTGTTTCAGCATCCAAAATCCCAGTGGCCTTGATATCGTAGTTTGTTTGATAGGTTCTGATGGCAGACTCTAGGGCATCGTCGAAATCATCGGAGGTTTCGTTCTTGAAATTAGGATAACTAAGATAACCAAAATTTTCAAGATAGTTTTTTATGTGGTGAAGGCCTTCTGTTTTTTTACCTTGCGGGAACCTTGAAAATCTTTAAGGAACTCGAATGCTGATGTTTGGCCATCATTAGGCCCTATAATCTTTCTGTGGCTAAGAACAGGAATGGCTAAAGTAAAGATAAAGAGGCATGAAAAGAGCTGAGATATTTTGGAAGCCATAGTCATGGACAAAGATATCCAAGGAACAGATCTCAAATAAGTAATGGTGTAGTGCTTAGTATAATTAATGTTTGAATCTATTTATAGACTTGCTTGGAGGGAAAGAGAAATTTTTCTTTCCCAGTGTAATAAAATTAGAATTCAAATTTTCTCAAACCTCATATCATATGGTTGGGGAAATGCCAAACCCCCATTTAGGTTTAGACTGCGATTGGGAACTTTTGTATTTGCTCTATTGCGGTGGGAATGATTATAGAGATTATTTGATGGTGCAATTAGAATGAAAACAGTCGAGACGTGGTCCAGTTGTCCCACCGACCCACCTATATAAATTCCAGTATGTACCAGCCCTTTAATCTAAATTACACTACCCAAGGCCGATCTTCAATGTTGATTAGTTGCATATGTAGTTTCTTGGTGTTTATGATTGTGCGTGTTGCTCCTTTAACTATTGAATATTTGGCATGATTGGAACATTAAACATTTGTCCTTTTCTTTTCACAGGTGGGTTGATGAGGTTATTCACGAGTTCCTTTACAAGCACCAAATCGATTATGTTGCTCACGATTTTCTTCCGTAAGGATTTCTTATCAAAAATTCCTCTTATAAATGATGTTTGGATTGATATGGAGAAGTTAGGTCATTCTAAGATGTTGGAAAGATATGAGGGGTATCCTACCCTTTTTCTTCCTTTATCTGCTTGGTTTAAAATATATAATGTGCATTCACTTCTATTCAAACTGAGATTGGTAACTGTCAGCTACGGATGGATCCTTTTTCTTCCTCATTCATTTAACTTTTTTTTTTTTGTTTTTGATTTTTCGGTCTGACTTTATCTTGTAAAATGTTAATAATCAAGCATTGGTCTTAAGAAATTATTTTATTCCTCCTTTTAATCCTACTGACAAGCGAACAGCATTGACCTATTTAGATAAAGATGGGAAAATGCACAGGGTCAGCAAAGGTGCACCCGAGCAGGTAAATAGTGCCCTTTTGTTACAATTTTTCTGTTATTTTATAATTCTAATTTCTGCCTCACATAAGACATATGTATTGTATATTCTAAATCTTGCACATAATAAATCTGAAATAGAGCGAAGGGTACATGCTGTGATTGATAAATTTGCAGAAAGAGGGTTCACGTCACTTGCCGTGACATACTAGGTAAACCGAATAGTATTTTTATGCGGTTTTGCTACCAATACATCAAGGTGTACATAGGTGTGTACATCACACTCACATGGGGGTGGGACCCGTTTGAATAAAAAAATATTTTATAAAAGTGGGTCCCACCTCCATGTGAGTGTGATGTATACCATTATGTA